AAGGCCGCGGCTAAGGCCTGCGCGCTGCCGTGCCGTTAAAAATTAAGCCTTCAGATCAGGCACGTTGCGGACTTCTAACTGTAATTGGAGCCCAAGGGCTGCCTGCTGACACAGTTAACGATGTAAATTATCCCGGAAGAGCCTGGTTTTACTTCGCTCCCAACCTCAGGTCTGGTCCTCGCGGATGAACGCCTGCGGCGCAACCGCCCGGCCCAAGCTGCGTAACCGCCGGGGACAACCGCAAAGTCCCAACGACCTCTGAGGCGGCTTCAGCGTCCCCCTCCCGCCTGCAGAATCATCCCCGATGAGACACTCGGATCTCTTTAAGTAGGAAAATAAAATGACTCGGTTCTATTGTCAAGTTTGCGAATGGCTAATTAGAAAAATATTTTAATGGGGTGGACATCGAGTATATTCAATTGCTAGTTAGCCATCAACAGAAAATCCTTCTCAATCACAAATCAGTAATACGTAGTGTGTTGTGTCAGCCTTCTCACCCTTCATATGGGTTTTTATTAAAGCTATTAGTATACTATCATTTATAATATTAAGGAAATGCCTTTATTGTGAGTACAATACTTCGTTCTTCAACAGTGGCCAACAAACTATCATCCGTACTTATTCTGGACCTCCACGCTGTAAAAGAAAAGCGGACAGTTAAATACGTTCCACTAAAAGAACAGGAAATGGAGATCAAATCTTCTTTTGCACTGTTACAGACCAACAGAGTTCTACTTTAATTTCTGATTTACACGTTGATTTTTAATCCATATAAGAACATGCCCAGAGTGTCAAATAGCAGCATCAACCAGTAAGAGCTCCATTTTTTTCAGGGGAGAATACAAAAAGATCAACACCTGCAACCGACAATTGCAGCTGCTTCCACTCCTCCCACTCTGAATAAACCTGACTCCCGCTCGCTTTAGAAAGGTCTGACTAACACAGCAGCAGTGAATGCAAGTTTTAGAATTATTTTCACTGCTCAAATTCCAAAGTGCAAAGTAGAAACAAAGCCAAGGTGAGCCATTACAATCTTTGTGAGAAGTCAGAAAGGTATTCAACTCGTTAATTTGCCAACAAAATTATTTTACAACTTACTTCACCATTAGAAAATTTATGCTAGAAATGTATTGCTATGGGAAATAACTCATTTTATTTCTAATTACAATAACCTACCCACATACATGCAGGAAAACTGATTTCTTCTGCTAACCTGATTACACTGTAGGTGTCCTTATCATTTAACAAAGCTATGCAAGCGTCTTTTCATTTCAAACTCACACCCATCTCACAAGTTCTTCAAACTTTGTGCATTCTCCCTTTTTAAGCATCAGTGTTTACAGCTGAGAGTTGTTACAGAACAAAAGTTTTTTCTTGCCTTTCATGTACAATGCCATATTTGCAAATATTGCAGAAAATATTTGTATCAAATTTAATAAAATGTTTCCACTACTAGAAATACAAGAATTAACTTACTAATAAGTAACTTACAAACACTAGTTTGAGAAATATTTTGGACTTCAATCACCTGCTAATAGCCTTTGCTGGTCTAAGAGCAGACTCCTGTGCTTTTGGAGCATGGAGAGATGGCACACGTTCAAATTACACATTAAAGAGCTGTGACAAAACAGGTAGTGACGGTGATTAACGTAGGCTATGACTATCGCTAGCTATCTGCACGTCTGTTTGAAGTCCATACCTTTCTACTCAGCAATACCACAGGCTACTAATTAGTGAGAGCTGGGTACCTTGTATATTAAGAATTTGTAGTCTGGGTATTGTGCATCAAAGCTATGAAAGCTGTGAGCGCACCCTTACCAAGAATTACAGTGCAATACCGTATTTGAAACTCTGAAGAAGGTGGAGAAATAAGCTAAATGCTAGGTAGATACAGACAAAACACACCAATAAATGAAACTTACTTGAATATATTCAATCTCTTCATCTGACATAAGTTTCCTTCTGTATTTCTGAGGTAAGGTTCTTGCTAATTCAGAAGTGTCTGGTGTACCTTGTACTCTACTAACAGGTGAAGTATTTTGAAATGCCGGTGATCTGCCTCCTACAGACTCCTGTGCTTTTGAAGCATGGAGAGATGGCACAGTTGCTTGTAGAGATTCCTGTACTGAAACCCAGATTGCGAAGCCATTTACAGAATATAACAAGACTGTAAAATTAATTAATGAGCAGCTGATAAAAGTTACCAGTTACTGACAATTTTCTTCATTGTAACAAATACTTCAAAGAATTAAGACACTACTTCTCACAATCTGTTTTTACTGTTGTTAAATATATCAAGGGCATAATGAAAAAATTCTGGCAGTGAAAGAAAGCACGTTTGAGTGGCAGAAATACTGGTGTGGAAACAGAAGATAAACCAGCATATAGTCTAACAAAGGCTTTTTCACTGGGAGGCTGTACTTAGAGAAAAAGCATAAAGTATCATAAATGTGTGTGTGGAGGCACTTATGTAGAAAGGTAACAGATAAATAACTAAGATGCACTGAGATGATGCTTTTTGTCTATTGTGACTGTAAAGACAGACAAGTGAAAAAGAGGTGGAGGCTTACAGAAAGATAAAGCTCACAACTATGACATACCACAACATGCAATGCAGTGTTGTACCCATTTTTAATATTAAAAAATGGCATCATATTAAATTTTGTTAATGACGTGCAGAATGACCACCAAATATCAGGCATCAGCAATCAACGTTAATGAAACGCAGAGACCATGGAGTGCATGAAGTACTTTACAGGTGAAGGCCAGTAGCTAGGCTTAAGGAATTCACATTAGAGAAGGTGCCTTGAGTTCGAAGATGGGAGAACAGATGACAAAAGGGCGGTGTTGTCAAAGTGAGCATTCTGAACCTTAGGCCTGTCCCACCGTGGCTGATTTTACAATGGAAGTACGCAATTACCCCACCAGGCAGGACGGAGTCTCACAGCGGTATGTTTACTTCATAAGCACTCAGACCTCTATATATAAGGTTAAAACACCTGGCAAAGGAGAATGCTTCCACAGCAAGTCCCTCTCAGTGCTCCTGAAAAAATGAGCAAGACAGATGCAACACCTAAACAGCTGGGACAGAGGGGCTATATAATTATAAAATAAGCAGCATCAGGACTGGATGAGTCAAAGAATGCAAGGAGTTAAAATACCAGGCAGCACTGCCTGCCTCTCTGCCTCCAACAAGATCAATGAGGACAAAGGCAAGGAGCCAGTTTTAGCCACAGTGAGTCTGAGTCAATGGCAGGACCGGGACATCAAACACTTCCAGCAATGTGATCAAAACACCATTGGTAAAAAAAAAAAAAGCCACCATTGAGAGGCATATTCAGAAGTCCGCAGTCAGAAGACTGTATCTGAAAGTCCCAAGTTGATCAGGTGGTTCAGGAACAACGGAAGCTCCCAAACAGAGCGCGGCGGAAGAGAGCCCATCAGAAGGAGCACATTCTGAACAAGGGGCAAAGTACTTTTGTTTCAAGAAACAACACACCCTATGTATGAAAAAACAAGAAACAGTTTCTCCAAGTTTGTTTCATACACCACAAAAATGTCTAGAGATTTGCCAAGGATTTTCCTCTATTGCACATTTCGAAGTCTGAAGTGTAGTTGGAGTAAATGCATTAGCCAATTAAAAACATCAGAAGTCAAGACTCAAAAGTACCAGACTTAATACTGCTGTTGCTTTAGCTCACATACAGTCTCTACTACATTTTTCCCCTCCCTGTTTGAGACCATCATGCTGCAGTAGTAATATGGTAAAAGAATTTGGCTGGCCTTTCAAGCACCCACGTCCCTAAAAGTTTAGTCTTGATCTGCAGAGCTCTGTTTGGCTACGTAGAAGCAACAGTCTGGTACACTGAAAACGCAGCTATTGCTACGGTGTTCAAGCAAGACGAAGTAGATTGCAAGTTACTAATGAGATGACAGAACCTGATGAAGGTAGAAAAATCTAACCTACTTAAAACATATAGTCACAAAAATCTCCTGATGCAGAGATAAACAAGAGGCAAGTAACACGCTTTCAGGCCTTTGAGAAAGCAGTTCACTGGCATGAGAGGTGGTGCGTTTGGCTGAATTGCGCATGACATACAGAATTCTTACAGAAAGTTATCGCAGAAAATACTTCCAGAAGAGTTCACAGGTAAGTCAGAAGTGGCACTGATGTGCACTGTAGATACTTTGTAATGTTAATGGATAAACTAAACTTTAAGTTTAAACTTTAAGCTAACTCACAAACGTGATAATGCTGTGGCAAATAACGTGGTACGGTATAATTTCTAAACAAGTGAGAATAACATAACAGAGCTTCTTAAGATGTCTCCTACTTTAGTTTCAAATGCTTTGTTGACTCAAAAGGAATATTAAAACGTCATCACTGAAATAACTTTGATGTCTAAATGTAACAGTATTGGGAATCCTATAAATATCAACATAGCAGTAGCTATAAAAATTAATGTCAAAAATTACAATGAAATTAATTTTTTCTCAGCACTAATTAGTAGCACAAGGAAAGACTTCTTAAAATGTACAGCTGGATGGCTCTCCCAGCTATAATCAGGATTTTAAATACCACAGACATCGCGCACTCCAAGAAGAGAAGAGATGAGGAAAATGCAACGTCATCTCTGCAAATATCACCGAATACCTAAAGCTGCTTCAAACTGACTTGGGCACAATCATTTCAGGCAAATATTAGTATTTGGAAAAATGGGACTTTATGTATAAGTAGAAAAAAACCACTGGAAATCTTTGTGAATCTGCCTTGACCAAGAAATAAAGACATGCATGTATTATGTGTATTCCCACAGTTGTATAGAGCCTGAAAAGGAAGAGTCAAAGCGTTGCCTTCAAACTAGAACAAGTATGTTTCAGAAACCCTGCTCAAAATCCGTTGAGTCACGTAGTTGAAGCCAAAAAGCTGTGTGCTGGTTTGTATATAAAACAGTTAATGCAAAGAAAGGTGGCACAAGTTGTATGTAGAGATTAAATAACTTACTTTTAGGCCTGGGACTACTTTTTCTGTCCGGGAACTTAATTAACGGAGTATGCGGCTTGACTACCTAGAACAAGGCGAGGTAGTAGGAGAAACAGGGAGAGTAAAACATACTTCTGGACACACATTACCTTCACAATAATAAAATGGAACACACAACGTGTTAAACAACCACTTCTATACCGCTGCTTTCTGTACCACCACTCTGATAAACTGACTGCTTATTAACGTTCCGTGTTCACCCACGGAGAAGTTTCACCTTTAAAGGCATGCCTGCACCCTCATGTCCTGAGCAGGAAAAAGCCTTCTCTTCCTTTTCTCACAGCACTGTGTGCGCGCGCGCAGAAGCAAACCGCTACCACAGTCGCATAAATGCAATTACAAAGTTTCAGCACATGGACGTGCCAGCTGTGCTCTGCCTGTACGTATGAGTTCAGGTGGCTGGACAGGATTGACGAGCTCCATTAAGAAAAAAACTACAAATTATAAAGCTTGGTAGTCAAAGGCGCACAGCTTATTTTTGAAACGTGCCTTTCGAAGATGACTGCACGTCTCACCTTCACCTTGAAGAGGGATGGCTTGGAAAGGAGCTGCCGGCTAGCGCCCTCCCCTCTTGAACGGCGCACCGAAGGGTGCGGGCTGCCCCGTAGCATCCTTTGGCAGCAGAGAACCAGGCACCGGCATCAAACGACCGGCGACACCGGGC